TCATGGCAATGAATCGTGCTGTCTTGGTCAGTCGATCCACTATGACCCAGATTTTATCCTTACCGGTTTTCGTTGGGGGTAGCCCTCCGACGAAGTCCATGGATATGGAATCCCACTTTCCTTGTGGTATTTCAAGGGGTTGTACGAGTCCCTTGGGTTTGCATCGTTCGGCTTTTACCCTTTGGCAATTCAGGCACTTGGCCACAAAGTCTGCGATTTCCTTTTTCATATTCGGCCACCAAAACGGTTTCTTTATGTCTTGATATAATTTGTCACCGCCTGGGTGAACGGAGTAAGGGGAGTTGTGTCCTTCCTCCAAGATCCGCTGTTTCAAGTGGGGGTGCGTTGAGGGTACACACCACCTCCCTTTGTAGCGGAGGCTGCCGTCTGGGTGTGCTTCGAAGGGGCCCTCTTTCCCCCGAGTTAGGTCGTGACGGATTTTATCTAGTTCCGGGTCCTGTTGTTGTCCCGATTTGATTTCCTCGAAGAGGGTGGGCACGGTCTGTGTGTTGAGTAGGTAGGCATTGGGGCGAGTTTGTCCCTGCTCTACTATTTCCAAGTGTAGCCTTTGGAAGTCCCTGTACAGATGGTCCGGTAGGATCCACGTGGTGTTGAGGGAATGGTTCATCTTTCGGCTTAGGGCATCCGCCACCACGTTGGCTTTTCCCTCGTGGTATTGAATGTCTAGGTCGTAGTCCTTTATGAGTTCCAGCCATCTTCGTTGTCTCATGTTTAGGTCCTTTTGGGTAAAGATGTACTTCAGGCTCTTATGGTCGGTGTAGATCTTGCATTGTACCCCATATAGGTAGTGCCTCCAGATTTTCAGTGCGAATACGATAGCGGCCAGCTCGAGGTCATGGGTGGGGTAATTCTCTTCGTGGGTTTTGAGTTGCCTGGATGCGTAAGCTATTACCTTGCCCTTTTGCATTAGTACGCATCCTAACCCCTTCTTGGATGCGTCGCTGTAGACTTCAAACTCTTCCGATCCGGAGGGTATGGTTAGCACGGGTGCCGTGGTTAGTTTATCCTTTAATTCTTGGAAGGCCGAGATGCAGCCGTTGTCCCAATGGAAGGGGGTTTCCTTTTTCATGAGCTTAATGAGGGGTTGGGCTATCTTGGTGAAGTCGGGTACGAACCTCCTGTAGTAGCCTTCTAGACCTAGGAAGCTTCGGACTTCCGAGAGGGAGTTCGGCGTGGTCCATTCTTTAACGGCGCGAACCTTAGCGGGGTCCACCCTAATCCCCTCTTTGGTTATCACGTGGCCCAAGAAGGCTACACTGTCTTGCCAGAATTCGCACTTGGAGAATTTAGCGTAGAGTTGGTTCTCCCTGAGGGTTTGCAGAGATATGCGAAGGTGCTTCTCATGTTCTTCTTTATCTCGGGAGTAGACTAGGATGTCGTCAATGAACACAATGACGAAGTCATCCAGGTGAGGTCGGAATACTCGATTCATGAGGTCCATGAATATGGCAGGCGCGTTAGTGAGGCCGAACGGCATTACGGTAAACTCGTAGTGGCCGTAACGTGTTCGGAAGGCCGTTTTCTGTATGTCTGGTTTGGCCACTTGGATTTGGTGATACCCGGATCTTAGGTCGATCTTTGAGAATACCCTTGCCCCTTTGAGTTGGTCAAATAAGTCATCTATTCGGGGAAGGGGGTACCTATTCTTTATAGTAACTTGGTTGAGTTCCCGGTAGTCGATGCACAGGCGCATGCTCCCATCCTTTTTCTTAACGAATAGTACCGGTGCTCCCCATGGGGAGGTGCTGGGTCGGATGTACCCCTTATCTAGTAGTTCCTGGAGTTGCGTTTTCAGTTCCTTCATTTCCTTTGGTGCTAGCCTGTAGGGTGGTTTAGAGATCGGGGCGGCGCCCGGTATGAGGTCTATGGTGAACTCGACTTCTCTGGCCGGGGGTGCCCCGGGAATTTCGTCTGGGAAGACGTCGGTGAACTCGTTTACCACTGGGATGGCTTGTGGTTCAAGTGTTTTGGCGTTGAGGTCTTCGACTGAGCATAAGAAGGCCTCGTTTCCTTGGCCCAGATACTTCTTAACTTTCATCATGTTTATCAGCTTGATTCCTGAATCCGGGCGGGCACTGCGGTACGACACCCTCTTACCGTTTGGTCCTCGTAGGACCACTTTCTGTTCTCCGCACAGGATTTGCGCTTGGAACTTCCCTAGCCAATCCATGCCCAAGATTACTTGCATTCCATCTAATTGAAACTGGATCAGGTTACTGGGGAATTCCACCCCTCGGATGGTGATCATTACATGCTCGTACATGCGATCACATTTTATGACCTCGCCTGAGGCCACCTTGACTTGGAGTGACCTTGGTGTTGGCGTTAAGGCCGAGCTGGGCGGCGAACTCGGTTGCTATAAACGAGTTGGTAGCCCCCGATTCAAATAATATGGTGGCTGGGGTGGCGTGTACTAGGAAGGTTCCGGAGACTATGTTGCTATCTCCGATTCTGGCCTTGCTTAGGGTGAGGATCCTTCCCCGGGTAGTCGGCACGATGGTTTGGTTAAGTGGGGCGGTTTTGGGGTTCTTAGGTCCCTTGGTGAGAATTGGATGACTTTCTTCGGGTTTCCTTTTATACCCTAGTTGCGTCCCTGGGGGCGGGTTCGCTACCTGTTGTAGCTGACATGCCTTGGCATAGGCTTCTCCGAGGGTCTTCGGTTCATAGGTGGCCAAGGCCCTCTGGTGTTCGGGCTTAAAGCCTGTTAGGAATTTCCTGACTTTGATCCCTTCGGTGGGTACTAGCTCGGAGGCGAGGCGAGCCAGTCGCCAGAATCGTTGGTAGTATTCTGAGACCGGGGCCGTCCCCTGTCTTAGATTGAGAAATTCCTCGCACATGGCGGCTTTCAGGTGGTTGGGGTAGAACTGTTCTCGTAATTGCGTCTTTAAACCCTCCCAGTTGAATCCGGGGTCTTGTTCGTACTTAGGTCCCTCGCGGGCCCACCAGCTGTCGGCCTCGCGCCTGAAGCAGAAGGAGGCTATCCCGACCCGGTGGCGTTCGGGGCATCGGGTGGTCTTGAACACCTTGTCGAATGTCTCGATCCATTCCTCGAGGGTTGTAGGGAGCCACGAGCCTATAATATCTAGGCTCGGCTCGAGCTCAATTACTAAACGAGTCGTTCGAGCTCAGCTCGAGCTCAATTTTGACCGAGTTCGAGCCGCTCGCGAGCTGCTCGGCTCATTTACACCCCCTAAATGAGAATGAAGAGCATGACCCTCTATTAAATTGGAAGAAGAAAAAATGAGTGGATATTATTATGACCCCTATTAAATTGGAATCATAAACAAGAATGGAAAATCTAAGATTGGTGGATACGAGAAATGCGTACATGAAATATTGGACCCTGGAGAAGGAAATACGACATTATAGAGACTGATTATCTGACTATTGAAATTCGGACTTTGGTAGTCCGAATATTTTAATTTTTTTTTTGTTCTTTTTTGTTATTCCCGATTCTTTTATGCAGAAATAAATGGACGCAAATAATGATAACTAATCAAATTTAGCAATATTGAAATTCGGACTATGATAGTCCGAATATTTTCAATTTTTTTTTGTTCATCCCGATTCTTGTTTGCGGAAACAAATGGACACAAATAATGATAACTAATCAAATTTAGCAATAATTTGGTTGATTTGATTAAAAGTAAAAAATTATGATTGTAATAGAATTCGGACACCAATAATCTGATTAATATATATATATATATATATATATATATATATATATATATATATATATATATATATATATATATATATAGAAGAGCGCTCATATGCGGCGAGGTCTTACCGTGCAGCGGTGCGGTCAAATTCCAGAATACACCAACAGTGTTAACAATATGCACCAACAGTGTAATAAAAACACACCACAATGAAATGCAATAAAACATCACAAAATACACAACAGACTCAAAAAAATACACCATATAACTCACCACCCTCAATGGTGTATTTTCGAACAGTGTATGGTGTTTTTACTCACACCTAATGGTGTGTGTTTGGTGATGCAGGGCTCTGTTTACTCTGTTTTGTGTGGTGTATTTTCCTAACGTTGATGGTGCATATTTGTTGAACTATTGGTTTTGCTGCACCGTAAGAAATAGTCGCACCGTAAAACACTGCCGCACCTGAACCCGCGTATATATATATATATATATATATATATATATATATATATATATATATATATATATATATATATATATATGATTCTATTCAGATACAAACAGTGCTTAAAATACAAACAGTGTGGATTCATCCGGGTCGTTGGTTTTTTAAGTTGGGTGTACAGGTTTTTTAAGTTGTGTGTTATATTATAAGTTAGCACTCCGTGTGCCTATTGAGGGAATGCATCTAATCCGTTCATCTTAGCAAATCTAATGGTTATTTTTTGTCCGCACGTTTGTATTTTAAGGTAGTTTTCATGTGAATGCAACCCTATATATATATATATATATATATATATATATATATATATTTGTTCTTCCCATTTCATGTTTGTGGAAATAAATGGACTCCCAAATAAGCAGAAGGTTCATGGTCAGTATGTACAAGGTTCGTGCTCAGTATGTAGAATGTCCATACTTCATATCATAATTACAATTTAGATGAAAATTTTGGATAATTATAAATAGAAACAAAGCATTATTTTATTGATGATTCAAAGTAGGACAGTGTGGGGAAGAATGAATTGTCCTCAGACAATACTTAAATCTTCTACTTCGATTTGAACCCAAGTCCATTTCATTTGGATACCTATGTGTTCGGCGTTGTCCTCGTTGATTTGGTTGCCCAGCAAAATTGGTAGAAGTAACTGGACCGGTACATTGAGTTCTTTCGTCTACTAGGTAGAAATTTCCGGCATAACAGTTCCTATAGTTTTGTATAGAGTAAACTTCTGGCACTAATGGGGCAAATCTTTTCCCTAGGTAATTGCATGCTGCAATCACATGTGCACATGGTATGCCGTTCACGTTCTACAATCCACAGTTACACGTACGTTCCGTCAGGTTAACTTGAAAGTGATTTTGTTGACTTTGAGAGACATAACCAGTACTTAGGGCAACACCATAGATTCCGAGGGCGTCATTGAAACTTTGAATGCTTGCACCACATGCTTCATTGTTTCGAGCTGACAAATCATCGGTAATCTTTGTCGTGAAAAGCAGTCCGTGTTGCTGCATCCCATCTCCCGCAGTACACCTGTCGGCAAACATAGTCCGTAACTTGTGAAAAGTCATTCAGACTATTGCTGTGACAGGTAACATCCGACAACACTTTAGTGAATTATTTAGTGACTCAGATGGATTGGTTGTCATAATGCCGTACCGGTTACCATCGTCGTGAGATAATGTCCACTTATCTACATCAATGTCGGCAAGATAGGCGTATGCAGCCGGCCATTTAATTTGGATTGCCTGCATGTGTTGAAGGAATTGATTCCTCGTTACAGCAGTACCAACTTCCCATACTAATTTTCGTAACCGCCTATTTCTGGTCACCCTTGTCATGACATTGCTGCGAATGTGACGAAGGCAAAACCGGCATTTGACACAGCCTCCCTTCAATTGTTGCACGGAATTGAACGCCGCATCGATTCCAGCGTGTCTATCCGAAATGATGCACATTGAATTGTGATGTGGAAAGACATGTTCGGCCAGAAGTCGAAGAAACCAAGTCCAACTGGCATTATTTTCGGAGTCAACGATTGAATATGCCAGTGGATAGATTTCCTTGTTGGCGGTATATCCGCAGGCTAGTAGGAGATGGCCTTTGTATTGGTTGTACAAGTGGGTACCGTCAACACAAATAACAGGGATGTAGTAGCAGAAGCCATCAATTGCGGGCTTGAACGCCCAAAATGCATACAAGAAATTCGCGTACCCTGTACCCCTTTCTACGTTCAGTGTGCACATGATTTCCACAATGGTTCCAGGATTGGAGAGTTGCAACTGCCGGCAGAATTGGGGTAACTCATTGTACGAGTGTTGGTAATTCCCGTACTGCATTTCAATGCATTTGTGTCTGGCATACCATGTTTTCCTGTACGAAATGTCCACACCATATCGTTGTCTCACATCCACTTGGATGTGTTTTATTTTGTACTGTGGATCCGTAGTGATCTTTTGAATGATTAAATCGCATATTATTGAGTTGGTGCACAGTTTGTCCGCGGCCCCTGGTTGTATTGAACTGTGCACTCGTGGGGTTGAAAGAACTTTGTGACCTGTCATTCAGAAGATCCCCATGCAATTTATTTGCGGATAATGTCACAGACAAGATGGTGTTGAGTTATAATGTGGACAGGAGACCTTCCAATTTGCAATTTTTTTGTGATTGGTGAAGTAGTCCCGCTTGTGATGCATATTGTAAGTTCCTACAGCTTTTTTAAGCATTGAAAAATCTGGAAATACCATTCTGACCGCAATAACATTTTTGGAGGGGTCGTATGAAAACGTTTCATCATCGTCTCTCTTAGTAAAGCCGTAGGTGAATGCAGTTGTTGGCGGTGGTATTGGGGAGTGTTAAGATGGGATAGTAGAATCTGGCAATCATTGACCTCGACCTCGATTCATTTGATTGGTTAGATTCATTGAATCGAAGTCAAATGGAACAGACTCCTGTATGTCTTCGTCCTCCGTACTTCCTGAACTCTCGGATGGTATAGACTCATTAGGTTGATAAGTGTCATCACTTTCTGATGAACTTTCCACCATTGTTGACGAAGATGGAAGTTCCTCTGGTGGATCGACATCGTTTACTCCGAATCCGCCACTATAAATATCTTCTATCTGAACGTACACATGTAACTCTCCATTTGGCAATGTTTGTCGTATGAAGTATTCCCAGTCTCGTTCGCGCGCAATGTGTAGTAGATAGTGTGTGCTACCCATTGTAGCATCCACTATCACTCTTCCAATCAGCTCAACATTGTCCTCAATGTTGATTCTCATTGCTTGTCGATCATTAACTCCATAGGAATGAGTCCAATATTTGATGGTATTGGAATAACTACTTGAGCATGAAGTGAGTAATTTATCTGTAGGGGTGCCCCACTAGTTTGTATTTCCACACCCCAAAAAATGAACATATATGTAGATATAGCTGCCATTTTAATAAAATTGCAGTACGAGAATAATGAATTGGCTCTTTGTAGATATGTGTTTTGGAAATTGTTTTGAAAGAAATGTATTATAAAGATAGAGAAGTATTGTGGTCCAGTTGTGGGGCTCACTTAAGTTGTTTTTATAGTAGTGTGGTATGTATCCGGGCGTAAAAAAAAAATTTAAATGTTGATATAATTCGGACTACAAGAGTCCGAATTAACCCATTTACATGTCTCAATCAGCTTTAGTTGGTTTCTGATAGTGTAGTCACTATAAAAAATTACTTTTTACAAAAGTAATTTCGACTTGTGGTAGGAGACACCTAGTATTTGAATTTTTTTTTCTCTTCTGATAGTGTAGTCACTATAAACAATAACTTTTTACAAAAGTAATTGGAGTATGGTAGGAAATTAGGAATGGCACACTCTTAGTCAATTTTTTTTTTCTCTTCTGATAGTGTAGTCACTATCAAAAATTACCTTTTACAAAAGTAATTGGAGTATGGTAGGAAATTAGGAATGCCGCTATCATTTTATTTATTTATTTTTTGTTATTTTCGGACTGATAGGTTTTTTCATTTTGGTTTATGCTTAAAAAACATTAAACTTATATACATGCAAAACAACAATGAACTAAACTCATACAAATATTTATTGAAACATTATGTTCACTTATTTTGAAAGTAGATGTTTAAATTCTTTAATGATTGCATCCACTTTCATCGCATGCTCGTGATTCTCACGTGCGAGCCGAGTTCATCTTGCATACGAGCTAAGATTTTCTCATTCGAATATGCGTTTGTATTTGGTACGGTGGAGCCGGAACTTGAAGAGGAAGTAGAACTGCATGCTCGAGAATCATGTCGTTGACAACTTATGAATCTGTTGAAAACTTGAATAGCTTCATCTCTCGAGTTATATGATTTATACAAATTATCGCTAAAACGATGCACTTGACTTTTTGCATCCTCCCAATTGTCATATATCCCGGGTTGGCGACCAACAAACACAACATACGTTTTACCCTAGTATTAAACATATGTCTGGTTAAAGACGGGACTTAAAGAAAAAAATAATAAATTATAACGTAGCATAGAAATTGTTCTGAAGAAGATGATGAATGCTTTGAAGTTGTAGAATAGGAACTGCAATCTGAGCAATTGATCTTCAATTTGAGCACGTAGCAGTAATGTAGAGTAGAGTATAAATAAGCCTATAAATCAGTACGAAAAGATCTAGGAAAAGATATTAGTACAGAATATATTCCCTAACGTTGCTTCTTCAGATTTGAATGTCATGAATAAGTTGTTTGGAACAACTTTTTATAACGAATATATTCGCTGACATTGCTTGTTGAATTTGGAACGAATATATTCGCTGACATTGCTTGTTGAACTTGGAAAGAATTTATTCCCTTAGCTGTTGGGGAAAGTCGGACAATATATATATATATATATATATATATATATATATATATAAAGTTGGACCACAATGGTCCGGCTTATACATTTCCGTGGTCAGATTTTTGTAAAAGTCAGACCACAATGGTCCGACTTTTAGAGTGAGAAATATATTTAAATATAGCGTGACAACAATGGTCCGATTTTTACATTTCCAAGACGAATATATTCCCTGATGCTATTACTATTGTCCATCAGTATGAGAAGACTATTCGTTGAATATGAAATGACTATTCGTTCAAATACATAATTACAATATATTTTATGATTCGTCATGCTATATCTCAAATCCTAGCAACTCAGTGCACATTAGTTTTACTTGTGCCTTAGTGCCAATTGTATCCTGCCCCGTCACTAAAAGTTCATCGACCTTTAGGCCAAATAACACTTCTACATCTTGAAGAGTTATTCCAACCTCACCGAAGGGCATGTGGAAAGCGTGGACCTCTGGCCTCATCGCTCTAAAAGGGTAGTAATAAGCCCATGATCCAACTGTATTTTTGTGAGTTGAGAAACACCGTAAAATCCAGAAATACGCAGCCACTTTTTCACTCTTTCATCATCAACGGCTGCACACCTCGTTACGGTATCATACTTAACATCTTTCAATTGGACGTCATAGTTAGAATCCGTCCAAATAGCTCTACTTCGGTGACGGCTTTGAAATGCTAGCGAACTTGAGTCTAGTAGCCCGGGGTGCACTCGTTCATTTGCCATAACTGTATCAAAACAAATCATAATACTTAAAAATTAAAAAATTTTCAACAAGTTCGAATAAATAACTTTAAGTCCGAAAATTGGACTTGGACAGACCGAAAGTCCGAAAATCGGACTTGCACAGTCCGAAAGTCCATAAATCGGACTGTGCTATATCGGACTTGCATAGTCCCAAATATTTTTTTTTAAAATCCGCACTTATTCAGTCCGGAAGTCCTCCATAGGTTTAAATTAAAAAAATTGGACTTCTACAGTTCGCAAGTCCAAATTTTAGTACAAATTATATGTCTAAATTATGAAAATAATAAGTTGAATCTACTTAATACATTTTTTTAACTAACGTGATCTATTTTTTTTTTTTAAAACACTTATGCACGTAATTGTTGTTTGTCCTATCACTTACCCAAAAAAAAAAAAAAAAAAACACTTATTACACTTAGTTGAATGCAACTCAATCACATAATTTTTTTACGTTCATCTCTTATTTTTTTTATACAACTAAGTGATTTTTTTTTAAACAAAAAAATATATAAAAACTGCATTTAAACATCAAAATATATATATATATATATAAAAAAAAATATATATATATATATATATATATATATATATATATATATATATATATATATATTAAACATCAAAGTCGGACTTGAGAAACCCGATTTTTTTTATAAAAAAAAAACTGCATTGCCACTACCGTGATCTTTAAACAACTAACGGGTGATCTGATTAAATTTGTTAAACAACTAACATCCTCTTTTCGTCTTTTTTTAATAAAAAAATATATAAACCACATTTAAAAAAATTACTACGAAAAAAATATACAAACTACGAGTAATTACAGTAGCTACATACAATATTTTTTAGTGTTTACTGCGTTAAATAAATGTTATAAACACTAAATACATCAAAGTTCAAATTTTTTTTTCCTAAACATTATTTTACCACTAAAACAAGAAATAATATGCTACAATGCGATATAATATACAATAAAACATCATAACGAAATAATAAATCTAGTAACTCAAATATAAAATAATTAAAATAATACTAACAGGTTTTGTTTTTTTTGTTTTTTGTTTTTTGTTTTTTTACCTGAAGATGCACAGTGTAGAGAAGATAAAGGAGAGCTTGGGAAGATGTTGTGTTGATTCTCATTTGATTCTTCAATGGGAAGATGCTGTGTAGAGAAGAGAAAGGAGGAATTTGTGTCTCCAAATGAAAAAAAAAAAATATATTTGTGAGTGCAGTCCGAAATGGGAAGAGAACAGAAGATGATTCTGACTTTATTTTGAAGTATATGGGAAGTTGAAGGTAGGGGTAGATGACATTTATTGTGAATGCGGTCCGAAATCTTGAATATTTGTAAGATAGGGGTAGATGACATTGATTTGGGGTAGATGAAATTTATTCTTCACTCAGCTTGGGAAGACCACCTGCAGCTTGGGAAGACAACCTCTCACCCATCACCTCAATGCATGTCAAATCATAAAGAGTACAAAATACAATTAAAAATTTATTCCTCACGAGCAAATAAAAAATAGTTTGCTAGGTAGAGATTGAGATATTGCGAAACTATTCAAAAACTAAATTTCTTAAAAAGAAAAAATGAATTGAGTATTAAATTTCATACACCGCAATAATTGAGTCCCTTATCATGAATTGGCCGCACTTAAAAATCTCCAAGTAGGACTTTCCTTATTCAGAAAGGCAAAATCTTTTGTCCTAAAATCATTATACTCCGATCTGATTTAACATGATTGAGGATGAATAAATAATTGTGACTTAACGTTCCATTAAGTAAAGTGTTCACAAGAAATTTTTATACTACAACTATCAAGACTTAAGCAGGATTTTCCTTCCGTGACGCCTCTACAATCATTAATAATTGATAGCTCATTTATTTATTTAAAAATAAATTTATCATCTAATAAACTGGGATTCCAGCTTTGCAAGCTGGCCATAAATTTAAAATTAATTTCCTCCATTATTATTTAATTAACATCTTCTTTCTCTCTTGTTTATCTACAATCCCATTTCTAGCTTGTTGTTGTAAAAGATTGAATTTTCAATCCCAATAACTTTTTGTGTCTGGCCTTGACCGAGCATATAAAAAGACTACACACAAGAAATTCCTTCACTTTGATAAGTTATTCCCACACTATAATCCGTAAAATTCGATCCTAGATCATTATTCTTAAACTTCACCACTCTGACCAATTGAACTGCCTATGCGGGTTGCTACAATTCCATTTCTGAGGCATAAAGGTTGAAGCCTGCCCCTGGGATTTCTAGGGGAATAGTTTAGAAGTTGATGGAGAAAACACACATGAATTGAATTGAAGAAGAATTAAAGCACAAATACAAGATTTAGTACAATCTTGAAATACATACATAGTGAGATCCATTTTTATATTTAACAGTGTTCACAGAAACCAATTAAAGACACTAAATCCCATAAACAAATCCTGCAGATTTGTGAAATTTCTCCTCAGTAAATGCATCAATTCTTTTGATAGCCTCATCACTGAAGTAATTCCTATGGTCATCCACCTTTGCTTGTCTAAAAAATGAATTATAAGGAGTTGGAAACCAAGCAGGACAATCCTCAGATTTGTTCACTTCATGATTCCTCAAAACCTCAAAGCTACAACACTTGACTATCTCCTCCACTTCCTTATCCTCCTCAAAAGGACAACCTAAAAACTCACCCAATCTTTTAACGTGAGTTTTCGTATCATCCTTTAACTCTTCATAACTAATAAAGAACACTTTACTAGGATTCTTCAAACTCGCCATTCTGTACCCCAAAACATGCTCGTAGTAAGGCCCGGCAGGGACAGTCCCACGAAGAAATTTCTCCATGGCTTCTTCCATCTCCCATGGCGCTTCCTCGGCCATCTTCCACTTATTCGCGAAATGCCAGAGGGAATTTAAGGTGTCCTTTGGGTTCCTGACAACATAAACCACACGACAGCCCGAGGAAGATTCCAAGGTTTTGCCGAGAAGTTGGTAAGGGATATGTGTGCTGAAGATTCTAGTGGTGTCTTGATCTTCCTCGGACGACAATACGTGAGTTGATGAGTCCGATGATTCTTGATGATCTCCATAGACTTGAACTTCTAGGTAAGGAACGAGGTCGTGGGGGTTGTTTTTGACCAGAGAATCAAGAGAGGAGCGATTGATGATGGAGAAAATAAGGGATTTGAGCCATGTGGTGCCGGTTTTAGGGAAGGAACCCAAGATTACGTCGCTGGGAAGTGGGTTGAACTCGGCTAGAACTCGGTGAATTCTGGGGATAATAAAAGGCATGAACCAGAAGCCATTGATCTGATGTAAGTGTTTATCTCCCCACCATTTCTCTTCTTCTGAGAGATTGATGTTCTCCATGATCGAGATTGATGACTAATAATGCAAAGCTATTTTAATGTTTATAGTGGTTTGGTTTGAAGAGAGAGATAAATTATCGTCAATGGACGACAACACATCATCATGTGATCCTTATCTTGGGAAGAATTAAAATAAGGATCCCAAAAATATTTTAACTTGCAAGATGATGTGTACATTGAAGTTGCATGCATTTTATATTTATTTTTGTTTTAATTTTACTTGCAAGCTTTATTAATTAGAAAGCTTTCTAAACCTTGGCAGCCTTTTGTGTATTTATTTATTAGTTATTTTATTATTATTTTGTTATTATATTTATAATATAATATGAAAGTGACCCACTTTTGTAAGTGAGAGAATATTGTAGGAATGTAGAGAAAATAGTGGAGAAATTGTAAATTTGATGATGTTGAAGTAGAATCCATTTTTGAAAGTGAGAATGTATTGTAGGAATAAGGATAGCCTAAGCTACCTAACATCTTTGCCTCAGATGCAGGCCTTGTTTGGTAATCAGCGGTTAGCGATTAACAGATTGTGTTAGCAGTTAGCAAATAGAGGATTGTATTAGCGAGTTTGACCAGCGGATTGTATCGATTTGTAACCATGTGGCTTGCAAGCTTTCTTAATTAGAAAGCTTGCTAGCAAATGGCAGCCTTTTGTGTACTTTATTATTATTTTTTTTATTAAATATTTTATTATTATTTTGTTATTATATTTATAATATAATATGAAAGTGGCCTTGGAACCACTTTTGAAAGAGAGAGAATATTTCAGGGATGTAGAAAAAATTGTGAAGAAATCATAAATTAAATTTGGTGATATAGAAGTGTGACCCATTTTTGAAAGTGAGAGTACGTATTGCAATGATAAGGATAGCCTAAGCTACCTAACAACATTGCCTCACATTTTTTTTTTTTTGTGGCCTTGTTTGGCAATCCGCAGTTAGCGGTTAGCAAAAATGGATTGTATTAGCGGGTTTGACTAGCGGATTATATGAGCGATTTATAAAAAGATGTTTGATAAAATTAACTATTTAAGTTACCGGTTAACATGTAAAATGGTTTAAAGGGTATACATATATTTCACAAAAAATAATAATAATAATAATAATAATAATAATAATAATAATAATAATAATAATAATAAGGGGAGTCGTGCGCGGCGGCTCCCCTTTGTTTTTTCACTTTTCTCACATCAATAGTAAAAGTGAGAAAGGCGTCTTGAGGCTCCTATAAAACGAGCCTGGGGTCTCTAGGGGTGTGCAAATTTCGTATAATTTTCGGTTAACCGACCGAACCGACAAAGTTCGGTTAACCGTTTTCTAACTGAACTTTTTCGGTTCGGTTAATGGTTAAAGGAATTTTAAAACTTCGGTTAACGGTTAATTCGGTTCGAAAGGTCGGTTAACCGAATTAACCGAACGGTTAACCGAAGTTTTTAATATATATACAAATTATAATATAAATATAAATACTAATTTGAAGTTAGGTATGTTTGGAGTTTATAACTAATGCTTTTGTATATTTTGTTATGAATTTATTATGATATGTATTTTATTTTAATTGGATTTATTATTTTAGGTGTTATTTTTAGAATTTTAAATTTTAGCTTTAAAAAGTTCGGTTAATCGGTTAACCGAAAAAAAATTTCGGTTCGGTGAATTCGGTAGAGCAAACTTCGGTTCGATTAATGTTTAAAGAAAAAAAAAAACTTTGGTTAATTCGGTTCGATTAAAACAATTCGGTTAACCGATTGAACACCCCTAGGGGTCTCCATTAATTTTAATCGTGCCTATCCAATTTGGTTGGGCATGGAAATGAAGAGCCTTTAAGACTCCTTATAAATGAAGCCTTAAGGTTAAAGGATCTTGAGTAGGGATCATTATGCTGTGCATCCGTATGCACCATGCATGGTGCATACAGATGCAAAAACGACGTCGTTTTATTAAAAAATGCGCATCCCACTTTAAGAAAATATTAGTTTCGATTCTGGAATTTTAGTTCATAGATTCTGGAATTTTAGTTCATAGATTCTGGAATTTTAGTTCATTGATTATGGATATTTAGACGTGAATCGAAACTGATTTTTTTCATTTATGCTGGATATTTAGTTCATTCATTATGAATATTTAGTTCTTTCATTATGGATTTTTAGTTCATTCATTTTGGAATTTTAGTTCATAGATTCTGCAATTTTAGTTCATCGATTCTAGAATTTTAGTTCATTGATTCTGGATATATAGTTCAAATTATGCACAATATAATGTTGTTGCTGGGAATCGAAATGAATTTTTTTTTTTTTTAAGTGAGACGCGCGATTTTAATAAAACGACGTCGTTTTTGCATCCGTATGCACCATGCATGGTGCATACAGATGCACAGCATAATTTGCCTAGTAGTTTATTTTATTATTTATTTATTTATTTATTTATTATTTTTTTAAGTAAGGGCGTTTGGTTTGGAGCAATCCGTTGCTCCAAATCGCTGATTTACCAAACAATGACTTTGGCATTTTGACCATGGTCAAAACGTCAAAGTCATGCGGATCTGTCAAAATTTTGGCGGATTCGCCAACAACCAAACATGCCTGCAATCCTTATACCATGGATATATCATGGACCAGGGTTCACACTGCTCTATGGATCCTAGTACATGTGTATGTGTCTTATGTTGTGAGTTTTTATGTCTTGTGTTATGGAATTCTGTACCTTTAAGAGTATGAATTCTGTACTTGAAACAAATTAGTAATTGTGTCTTGTGTTGTGAAATTATGTACCTAATAAATCAGATTTGAAAAATAAGTGAATATATAACATGTTTATGAATTATGTACCTTGCTGTTTCGATTCCGGGTTCATAATGCTATGTGAACCTTGTTCCTTGATATATAAATTGCCCCTTACATGTTTCCCATCATCAATTAAATTCTTGATTAATGTTACTTGAAATTATGCTTGGAATTTAGTAAAATAAAGCATACCGAAGTTTTTTGGATTGGATAATATAAAATTGAAGTACACAAAAGGTGGGGACCTAATTTGTTGTCCTTATTAACTCCAATCGAAAGTCCTAACCAAGCACTATCAAGATCAAATAAACTGATCTTCATGTAAGCTCTACTAAATTGACATTATTAGAGAATGAAATTAACACAAAGATTGAGTAAACTCACTCACTCACTCACTCTTGAAAATTAAAGCTTACATTTTTATTTTGAACGTTGTTCAATAACCGACTGATTGATGAAGACACTAAATCCCATAAACAAATCCAGATTTATGAAATTTCTCTTCTGTAAGTGCATCAATTCTTTTAATAGCATCATCACTGAAGTGATTTGTATAGTCACCCACTTTTGCTTGTCTAAAAAATGAATTATAGGGAGTTGGAACCCAAGTAGTATATTCCTCGGACTTGTTCACCTCATGATTCTTCAAAACCTCAAAGCTACTACACTTGACTATCTCCTCCACTTCCTTATCCTCCTCAAAAGGACAACCTAAAAACTCAGCTAATCTTTTAACGTGAGTTTTCGTATCCTTCTTTAACTCTTCATAAGTAATAAAGAACAAATTCCCAGGATTCTTCAAACTCGCCATTTTGTACCCCATTACATGCTCGTAGTAAGGTCCATTAGGGACAGTCCCACTCACAAATTTCTCCACAGCTTCTTCCAACTCCCATGGCGATTCCTCGGCCATCTTCCACTTATTCGCGAAATGCCAGAGTGAGTTTAAGGTGTCCTTTGGGTTCCTGGCAACATAAACCACACGACAGCCCGAGGATTCCAAGGTTTTGCCGAGAAGTTGGTAAGGGATATGTGTGCTGAAGATTCTAGTGGTATCCTCCGATGAAGACAGGTGAGTTGATGAGTCCGATGATTCGTGGTCTCCATAGACTTGAATTTCTAGGAAAGGTACGAGGTCGTGGGGGTTGTTGTTGACCAGAGAATCAAGAGAGGAGCGATTGATGATGGAGTAAAGAAGAGATTTGAGCCATGTGGTTCCGGTTTTAGGAAAGGAACCCAAGATTACATCGGTGGGACGTGGTTTGAACTCGGCGAGCACTCGGTGAATTCTGGGGATAATTAAAGGCATGAACCAGAAGCCATTGATCTGCTGTAAATGGTTATCTCCCCACCATTTCTCTTCTTCTGATGACAAATTGCTCTTCTCCATAATCGAGTTTAATTTGATGAATAACAATGCAAAGCTATTTAAGTATTTATTTATAGTGGTTTGGTTTGAAGAAATCAACAGACAGCTCATCATCATGTGATCATTAATTATATCGTGTATCGCACGTACCACACATGTTACTCTGCATGGATACACATAAAATTGACTGAAATGTGACACTAGGTTCGTGCAATTCCCCAAATATAACGCTGCTGAAAATTAAACGAAATTATAAAAAACACTTTTGAGAAATGCGTTTTATCACATTTCCGGTCAACACATAAAATACAAATGAGACTTGCGTTTCTGGAGAAACGCAAATCCCACTTGAGGTTTTCTTATTATTTTCGCAAGCTGCCAGCCATTACTTCGCTCTTACTTTTGTGGAGTACCAAAATTATAGAGAGCTGCCATGCATGTTTTAGAGAACCAAGATTTTTGAAATATGCCCACCGCCCACATCCTCAATTCACAAGACAGACGCCCACATAATCTGCCATTAACAAAAAAATTGCCCATCGCCCTCCTTCACTACTAACAACGAAGCTTTGGCATCATCTCTCCAGACTCATTTTGGAGTTTGTTCTCGCCGGAACGTTGGTGTCTTGGTGACAGATGGGTCGACATCGACGATGCTACCCGGCGACGGCTTCGGGCGAACGGGAAGCCGGCACGGTGGAGCGGCGATCGGTGGTGGTCTGACAGAAGTGTCGATCGTTACAGGTCATGGTGTGGTTGCCTTCTCCTTCACCAGAGAAGCGGCCGAAGACCCAAAAAAAAAATTAAAAAAAAAGAGAGAGAGAGAGAAACGCAAGTAGTATTTGCGTTTCTCAAGTATGTGTTGACCGGAAATGTGATAAAACGCATCTGTCAAACGTGTTTTTCATGATTTCGTCCAATTTTCAACAGCCGTCATATTTTGGGAATTGCAGGA